CCGGGCTTTAATGGGGGGCGGGGGGTGGAGTTCCTTCACTAAATAGACCTAAGAAAATTACAGCGGCAAGACTACATATCTTGGTGTATCTGGCATCTGAGCTCAGTTTCCCTCCTAACATTGTACGTAGAGGTGCGCTACAAGTTGCTGCTAGCATCCTTGAGTGGATTAAGCTACAGAAGCCTGTAGTTTGGTATCCATGCTAAATTGAGTGCCTATTTCGAGGCTCGAGGCGCACGGGACTTTGTCGCGCCGTCCTGAAAAGTTTGAAAAGTTCAACTTATTGTCACGGAAAACCTATCTCCTCCTACAGTTTTCAAGCTACAGCAATGAGACATACACCATTCGATTCGTAATGAAATTACCTAAAAATTTGATGATCATTTTTTTGAATTTCTGTCTGGTTCGTTTTTTATATAGGGGAGAAGGGGGAGGAGGGGGGGGGAAATGAGAAAAATGGGATAAAACGCGCATAAAAACAAAACTAAGGGGAAAATGAGAAAAGTGATCATCAAATTTTTAGGTATGGTCCTTACGAACCGAATGATGCGTGTCTCGATGTTGTAGGATGATATTTGTAGGAGGAGATAGATTTTCTAAAGTACCCCCTTTTTAGCTGTTTTCTATGAATTTCACGTTTTCTATCAATTTTTTCGAAAAATTTATACGAGCAAATTGTTTTTTATTTTACATTTTACGTATGAATACGAAATTTCAGCAAGATTGGATGATACATGTAGAAGTTAGAGGGTAGCCGGTCCCCTTAAAGAACATCCTACGCCAAATAAAGCTGGTTTCTACTTTTGCGTACGGATTTGTTGTTTATATTTTCCTATTGTTGTTTTATACTCAGATGCATTCCAATTGCAGATACCAAACATAACAAATGATTGTATTTTTTTGCATGGTAGTTTTGTTTCGTATCATGAGTAACATCATTACAGCGCCTTTTCTTGTTATCGACTTTTTTTCCTGTTTTCAGATCTTTAAGGATGATGGCGCCAATTCATTACTCATCCTGCCCTTGTGATTTTTTCGAAACGGTTTTGTATTTAGTAATTGCTATTAATGCTTACAGGAGATTAATAAAGATATCTAGATCTTTGTTTTTTTTAGTTTTAACTTTGCCAAGAACTCGTGCCAGTTCTTGTAACGTTTGTAGGAGATCGTAAGCGGTTTCGGGAGGAGATCGTAAGCGGTTTCCAAAGCTTCAACATGGCTCGCCTCAGGTCGTTTGTTGATGTTTGTGGGTGATATTTTGTTTTAAATAACAAGTTGCGTTATTGTGATTTTTAATTTTTCTGATTTGATTTTTCCACTTGAGGCCTCCTTATAATTCGCTCCAAGAAAAGCGCCTTGCTGTAGCCTCTTTGTCTCAGGTGGTTGTATAAGATAAGTGTAGTTTTCACAAAATCCGGAACATTGTTGCAATTCCGTTTGTGTCGTAGTATTTCGCCCTTTACACATCCTTTCAGACAAAATGAGGGATGAGCACTAGCTTGTGGCCTCAATATACTGGAACGTTTCTGTTGCTTTGAAATAAGTTTTGGTGTCCATATTTCCGTTCTTATATGGAAGTTTTCCCCTTTATATGTTGTGAGGTCGAGAAAGTTAAGCTCGCGATTGCTGATTTAATATTGATCGCTATAATGTTGATAACCTTGCAAATGAATCATCAGATATGAGGAAGGGAGTTTTAATGCATATCGTGTAGCACTTATTCGGTGATACTTAAATTAGAGAAAACTCCGTTTTAGGCTGTTTGCTTTTAACATGTTGAAAGCTCTATTTGATCTTTTGGATTGTTTCTTCATCGAATTTAATCGTATCAGTAAAGAAAAAGGAAGAAAGCTCTGCGGAATAGATTTCCGCCATCGCCAGCTTTCCTTCCGTTGACCTTGAGCGGCGCCGCGGTGTAGGCGCAGCCTGCATGCTCTCTCAATCGCTGATACGCAACCGCCCAAGCTGCTGCGCAGCTCCTCTGGTGACTACTTTGCATCACCATCTTCTGTGTCTGTGTGTATCACCAAGTGAGTTTTAGTAACACCTCTTTATGCAATTATCATTTGATAATTGTAAGGCAATCGCCTTCAAAATGCAAAATTTTTATTTGTTGCGCTGCTATCATGTGCTATTTTTACAACACTTCTCTTTAACTTCACTTCTTGTTTGTTCGTCTGCTACAGACCTTATAATCGATTTTTAACACACTTCTACCTGTTCAATCGATCTGAAATTGCGCACACTTGCGTAAAGTCAGAGACAATGCATGAATCAATTTACAAAATAAATAATTTAAACAATTAACGAGAAATTCATTCCACATGTGTAAGTGTAACATCGAAGACACTGGCCTTTTTAGAAGGGTTGTCTATAAAAAGTAATTTTTAAACGCATGTTATTAATCTTGATGCCATCCAAATGTGGTATGGCGTGAAAACGCTTGTCGTCCACAAGCTAAATTGTTCAAATTATTTATGTTCTGTGAGCTTTTTCTATGTGATGGCCGATGGGATAACATTAAATTTGTTATTAAAGATCAATGTAAAGTAATTTCAGAGTCTTATCTTTGATCGAGTCTGGTCGAACCTTTGGTTCTGTCTTTCAGCTAGAATAAACTCACGTGTTCCCAATGACCACGTGTATTAATTACACATTCTTGTCACTTAAACGTGAAGAAGATGGTACGTATTCAACCATAAGCTGTTTCTGCGGTTACAAGAAGGGTGAAGCCATCCGGTTACAAGAAGGGTGAAGCTGGTAACCGTTCCAGGAACGGTTACCAGCTGTCATTGTCATTGTATGTACATTATCCTTTTTTGGAAGCTGGAAGATGTTTTCTTGACGTCATCAGAAACTTTTCTCGTAAAATTTTGCCGTACGCCGTTTCTAATGTTTGCAACCCTAAGTCATTTTTTCAGGATATGGATAATTATCATAACTACGATGAAACGCATGACGGTGGCTGATAAATTACGAATGATCAAAACAGGAACAACCGGCGACTATTCAATAATTGCGGTTTAAAAATTACATGAAAAATAATTTTTTATTAAAACAAACATTCATACAAAAAAATTTCTGATATTTTGAACGAGCTAATGTATCAAAATAATGAATTGAAATATCAGATATTACATTTTCTAATCGTCACAACAGTTCAACTGGAAGTCGCTTAGAACGACCGAACGAAGAACGTTTATAACTTCCCCAACATGTTAATACAACAGCGAAATATTTGTGAACTTTGCTATCAACGCTACTTAGAAATTGTTTACATGGCAAGGGCACAATGAGAAACCTTCCAGAAGTTTAGGTAGACACGTTCATGGGAAAACATACACTGAAGGCGCATTTCCTGAAAACCAAATTATTCGACGCCACAGAGGAGGAAGAATCGATGTCATTTTCCTTCTCCAATATACAGAATTCTCCAGTTATTTAGGCATGAAAGATTCAAGAGCTTTTTTAAATACGGTTCTATCATATCAGTTTCGCAGAGAAATTCCCACCATGCACTAAACGATGTATACTTAAATCAGACATCCTTTTATCTATTTATAAAGTAACTTAGGGATCAAGAGAAGACAACTAAGCTATTCATTGGGCAAAAAACAAGCTGCCAACATAAAAAAAATATTCAGTAGTGGCCTAATCGCGTCTTAGGAAAATAAGAAATAATGTAATGTTGATTCATAAGAGATCAATGTAAGTAAGAAATGACAGTAAGCAATGAAAATAACTCCTTTGAACGAAAAGCAACTACTACTTCTATATTATACAGAGAACACGATGGATGGGCCAAATCATAGGCTAATCATGAATGCTATGATCTAATCACAATAGCGGAAAATTCATTACATTGTTTTGTGTTACGTAGCTACTCGGGTCAGAAATAGTGTGAAAAAACTGTTAACGCTTTTCATGGGTCAACACTTAACGACTATGAAGGAGTATCTTGCCAGATTTCATTAATGACTATAGTATAAAAATTTTTTTCCTAATGGAATATTTTGCCGAATAAAAAAAGTTCATAGAGCAATTCTGCTTAAAACTGCTAAAAATCAGTGAAAAATCGGACTGTGAAAGTTCTTAAATTTTGGTGTCGGTGGTAGGATTGAGATGGACATGTCAAGCAACGTAGAGTTAAGTTCTTTCAATACAAGTCGTCAAAAGCCATTGCAGAAACTGAATACAAATAATGAACCATAAATAGTTTACGTGTTAAATTACATTTAATTTACGCGGACTAAATCTGTCATGTAACGGTAATTTTTAACAAACAGTAGGCACGTTTTGTAAGTTAAGAGCACGTTACATTTGAATCACCAACCTTGGAGTCGTTACATTATATACAAATCAAATGGTTGGTAATAAAAGTACTCTTCTAAGTAACGAGCACCAATTGATATCCAATGTGATCTGGCTAAGGAGTTAGTCCTGGAGTGTACCTAGCAGTGTGGAAGCCATATAGTGCCCGAGTGGCATCACTGCCATCCGTTTTGTCGGTGATCCAAGATTCATGTGCAATGTAGCCATCAAAGACAGAGGCACGGTGCTGTCCTCAGTGAGAAGCAGCAGCAGAGGACAGAGACCTGGTGCTGTCCTCAGCGAGCAGCAGGGGACAGAGGCACGGTTCTGTTCTCAGTGAAAAGCAGGGGACAGAGGCACGGTGCTGTCCTCAGTGAGCAGCAGCAGCAGGGGACAGAGGCACGGTGCTGTTCTCAGTGAGAAGCAGCAGGGGACAGAGGCACGGTGCTGTCCTCAGTGAAAAGCAGCAGCAGGGGACAGAGGCACAGTGCTGTCCTCAGTGAAAAGCAGCAGCAGAGGACAGAGGCCTGGTGCTGTCCTCAGTGAGAAGCAGCAGGGGACAGAGGCACGGTGCTGTTCTCAGTGAGAAGCAGCAGGGGACAGAGGCACGGTGCTGTCCTCAGTGAGCAGCAGGGGACAGAGGCACGGTGCTGTCCTCAGTGAGCAGCAGGGGACAGAGGCACAAGCAGGGGACAGAGGCCCGGTGCTGTTCTCAGTGAGAAGCAGGGGACAGAGGTACGGTGCTGTCCTCAGTGAGAAGCAGGGGACAGAGGCACGGTGCAGTGGACGGCGGCAGGGAAGCGCTCGCAGTATCTCTCCCTCCTCAGGAACTTGACGCTCACCAATTGCCCTTCAAACCAGATCCCGTGCAGCAGCGAGTGGATCTGGCCAGCCGTCTGTAATGGTGCATTACACTTAAGCCATTGTAACTCTGATAAAATAAAAAATATAACTCAGTACTCACTGCAGAGAGTGACAGAGCTCGCCTTTTCTCGTCGACGAAAACGTGAAGTCACGGACGGACAGACGGACGGACGGACATGGTGAGCACAATAGTGCATTTTTTTCATAAATGAGAAAATGCGCTAAAAATTGTCATGAGTTCTTAACTCTTTCAACCAATCAGTGACGGCTTTCCAAGCCAAATACATCAACCACAGATGAGAAATCAGCAGCTACATGCACCTAATTCACAACGTGCTCTTAGACCACTACGTGTACCTGATAGATAATTGATATCACGGCCCTAGGTCAGCCGACACATAAAATGAAATTTTAATTCACGCAACATTTGTAGACCGTAACCACGTCTGCAATGAGCATCTTAATGAAAATAGTAAGAATTGCAAACTCAAAGGGGGCGGACGAGGCGAGTAAAATTTGTACGTCTAATATGGAAACAGAAAATTGGACAACTGGTATTATGGTCCAGGATATGCCAACTAGGAGCAATGGACACTTGCTCCTGGATAAGGAGCAACCTCCAGCAATCCAGGATATGCCAACCTGGATTGCTGTATTACTACGCTGGATAACGGGCTACATGAAAGCTGGGATTCTAAAATTGCTGGGATCATGTGTACCATTAATAGGGTAGGATAGCCCAGTGGTTACAGTTCAGAGTACCAGGATTGGAGCAGGAAGTTGCGGGTTAGATACAAGCTACCAGCGACTGTTCTGGTAAAATCGGCGAGGAGGCCGAGCAGTTAAGAACAGTAAAATTAGATTAAGCAGTTGCGTGTTCAAGACCCGCAACAAGCTGTGAAAAATTCTGCGATATTCAGATTCTGCGACAGGCCTACAGGCCTAATGAACGCTGTGACCGCTATTTATTTATTGAGCCCAGGCGACAACGGGCTAACCTTCCAGTTTAATATTCACCTTGACGGTCTTGGCCATGAGGTAGACCAGCCCCTCAGAGCCGTGCTGGTCTACGGCCAAGTGCAGCACAGGAAGACCCCTGCATTTCTGCAAGACCACCTCACGCACCCACGTGGCAGACCTGAAGACAGACGCGAATGTATATTTGTCATTTTAAATACTGTAACACTATCAGTCTATCGCCTTGTTAGAGCTAATTGTGACACCAAAATTCAACATTATTATTGCAACACAAAAATGCGCCACGTAATGAACTAGAATCTAGATAATCTTACAGCTGTCAGGCCCATGACTCACTTGTCAGGCCCCATGACTCACTTGTCAGGTCTGGCAAGGTTGCGGATCTTAAGGCACTGCGTGGGGGCGGTGACAGCGGCCTCCCTCTCCCCCACGCCCCTCCACCACTGCCCCCTGCCGTAGAGAGAGAACGTAATGGATGGTAATGGTAATAATGGTAATGGTAATAATGGTGGGATGATAATGGATGTTAATGATGCAATAATGGTGTGATGGTAATGGATGAAAATGATGCAATAATGGTGCGATGGTAATGGATGGTTATGATTTATGGTAATGGTAATAATGGTGTGATGTTAATGGCAAGTGAGATGGTAATAACTCGAAAATGAGGGAAATGCTCAATAAAATATTCATTTAATCAAATGAATATATGATTTACTACAAATTTAAATAAAATGGGAGGAAATGTTTAATAAAATTATCATTTCATCGAAGTAAAATACAATTTTCTAAAAATTTAAATGAAATAATCAAACAAGACTACAACTCCCATATGCATATGCGCAACAGCTGATAATTAAAGCATGTGTACCTCTTCGACCACCTATAAATAAATTGCGCACTGTCAAAACTCGACATACAATTTGTTTTTAAAATCGACGATCCTGTTACTACTGCAAAATGCAAATTTTATTCTACATATATTTCCATTAAGAAAATATTGCAACTAACGATGGGTCAGCATCATTATCATCGTCGACAGGTAGATCGGGGTACATGGAGGGAGTTCGTCGCACATCTGGCAACACTGCAGGCCCGGGAGTTCGTCGCACATCTGGCAACACTGCAGGACCCGGCGTGGCCTGTGATTGGTTGTCACCACGCGTGACGTCATCAATGTCCTCCGCAGCCTCGCATTGGCTGGAATTTCCACCAATCCAGCGCCACACTTCACACTCCTCCCCGCCGACCAATCGCATTTCACGAACAAGCTGATGGTTAAATGCCATTTAGATTTATAATATTTATTAGATAAATGAGATTTATACTCATGGGATTTATATTGTATATCTATATCAAAAATCACAATGATTGAAAAGAGTGAATGTTGTACTATTGTTATGTTGCAGTTAGATTGCCTCGGTGGTACATAACGCAGTAGAAACTTGTAGGTTGACCAAGATTAATTTCAAAAGAATGCCTAGAGACGCCCTAGATTCGAGTGCCTGGATAGGACCCAGAATCCAGGCTGCCAATGACTATCCATGCTTACCATAATTACCTAGATACTTGTCGGAATCAAGTGCCCAGATATATACGCCCTACGTATATTAATATTATGGGTACGCTCTAAAACAAAATACTCAGATAAAACCTGATATGCACCCTAGAAGTGCTCTAGAACGGTAGGACCAAGTGCCTTGAAACTTGCCTTAAAATACATCCTAGACACACTAGACACTCGCCCTAGACACGCCCTAGACACACTCTAGACACTCGCCCTAGCCATATCCTAGACACGCCCTAGACACACCCTAGACACGCCCTAGACACCCTAGACACTCGCCCTGCTCTCATGGCGCTCGACGAAGGCGACGGCGTCGCGCCAGACGCGGGCACAGGAGAGCCGCTGCTCGGGGGAGAGGAGCTCGTCCCTGACGTGGCTGACGGCGGCCAGACCGTCCCGCGCCCCCCGCACCTTCTGTAGGATCTTGCGCACCACCGCGTACACCTGCAACATGTGGCAACACTGTCAACACCTGCAACATGTGACAACACTGTCAACACCTGCAACATGTGGCAACACGGTCAACACCTGCAACATGTGACAACACTGTCAACACCGGCAACGTGTGGCAACACTGTCAACACCAGTAACATGTGGCAACACTGTCAACACCTGCAACATGTGGCAACACTGTCAACACCTGCAACATGTGGCAACACTGTCAACATGTGGCAACACTGTCAACACCTGTAACATGTGGCAACACTGTCAACACCTGCAACACTGTCAACACCTGCAACACTGTCAACATGTGGTAACACTATCAACACCTGCAACATGTGGCAACACTGTCAACATGTGGCAACACTGTCAACACCTGCAACATGTGGCAACACTGTCAACACCTGCAACACTNCATGCTGCTAATGCTGACCTGCTGTTGCCAGCAGCACGCATGCTGCTAATGCTGACCTGCTGTTGCCAGCAGCACGCATGCTGCTAATGCTGACCTGCTGTTGCCAGCAGCACGCATGCTGCTAATGCTGACCTGCTGTTGCCAGCAGCACGCATGCTGCTAATGCTGACCTGCTGTTGCCAGCAGCACGCATGCTGCTAATGCTGACCTGCTGTTGCCAGCAGCACGCATGCTGCTAATGCTGACCTGCTGTTGCCAGCAGCACGCATGCTGCTAATGCTGACCTGCTGTTGCCAGCAGCACGCATGCTGCTAATGCTGACCTGCTGTTGCCAGCAGCACGCATGCTGCTAATGCTGACCTGCTGTTGCCAGCAGCACGCATGCTGCTAATGCTGACCTGCTGTTGCCAGCAGCACGCATGCTGCTAATGCTGACCTGCTGTTGCCAGCAGCACGCATGCTGTTAATGCTGACCTGCTGTTGATGTTGTTGTTGTCTTCGTTGATATCCTCGTATCACCCACAGCACCGCCCAGAACACAGCTGCCCCTGCTCACAAATATCATCAAATTTCAACAAGTAAACAAAATACAACATCTTAACTTTAAACAAGTAAACGAAGTTAAAATTCATGGTAACTTTTTTATATAAAACAAAAAAATGAAATGCTTTATTTTCCATTAAAATAACATATGGCAAATGCCAATGATTTTTATTCTATTCAAATTAATAGCATACTTTAGTATAAAATTAGCAAATAATAAGAAATTTTGCTAGAATACTGACACTTCCGTAGAATTGAAGGAATTTTACAACTAGAAATACGCACATATATTGTTTATTATTGAAGGTATTGACTGGTTGTGGAAAGTTTAGCATCGCAAGAGCAGCTCATTAGAATTACAAGAACAGCCCTATTTCTACAAGAACTAAACAACAATAAAACACAAATTTTTATTATATATGCCACCAGGGCCAGCGCTTCCAGCACAAGTGTTGCTGAAATCTCATCATGGAACCGTCATTTTATAAATTTCAAGAGCAATACTTTCCCACAAAAAACTAGACAAAAAAATAATGTAATATTAGTCTCACTAAGAAAAACCAAAGCAAGGCTGCAAGGTTTGGTACGGTATTGACAAGAATTCACAGCCGTTTATAGAATCTAAACGGCTGTTTAGATTCAATAAATAATATGCATTTAAAAATTACTGTTTAAAGACAACGCTTCTTAAGAGGCTACTGTCTCCAATGTTACACACGTACAATAAATTTCCTACTTTATTTTTTACATGTTAAAAAATATGTCACCGGACGTGTGCCGCTACCTTTAATCTTATCAGGATGATCGAAACTCCACGGCCAAACGCCGGCAACTATCTTGTAAGAAGTTCAATGATTTTTGCTAAAGCTATATTGCACATTATTGCACTGGGATGTCTTTCATTAAAACTTCGGTTAACACGGTAAAACTTGCCTTTTATTCCAGTAAAGAAAACTTAAAAGCAACACGTTTAATAAAATAGTACAGCAAGCAGGAAAGACATAACTCTGCTAGACGAAACACTTATGGCACAGCCACAGTAACTAGCGCTAGGGCACAAGATCTCTAGTGGAGCAACGGAGCGAGGTGAGTTAAGGCTAGAACCTCGCTGTAGGGCTGGCGGGACCGACTGACTACCCGACTCAAAGCCGCTCAGACTTGACCTTGCACTACGTCGCTACCGCCCAAGTAAGGTCCGACATCAATGTTACTAAGGCGACTACGCTAGATGTGGCTTTCGGTATGCCCAACGAGATGAAAATGCTCACGGCTAATAGTGAACGAAGTTCATCGTTCACAAATATATATTTTTGAATTTTCAATATATGAAAGTTCTTTTTCAATTTTCAAAATTATTTATTCTGTTGTTTGATTCATGCACTGTCTCCGAATTTACGCAAGTGTGCAAAATTTCAGATCGATTGGAGAAGTAGAAGTGTGTTAAATATTGATTATAAGATTTGTAGCAGACAAACAAACAAGAAGGGAAGTTAAATAGAAGTGTGGTAATAATAATATTCTTGCAACAAATTAATAATAACAATATAAAAAATAAAAATATAAAATATAATAAAAAAAATAAAATATATAAAAATATATAATATAATATGACCAGAAAATACATATACTAAAACCAAGAATTTATGCAGTTTTGGTTAAAGACCAAGCATACATTTTCCTCTCAAACGTTAGTCTCCCTCTCGTGTCAGTCCCGATACTCAAGCGTCAAGAAAACTTATAAAAAATAAAAATATATAATATAATAAAAAATATATAAAACTAAAAAGAAAGATAATAATATTCTTGCAAAAACTAAACACCAGAAGTTATTAAACATCTGACCGAGAGCGACGAGGGCGAGGGCGGCGAGGGCGAGGGTGGCGAGGTTCATTCTTAATCTAATAATATATTAGAATAATATTCTCTAATATAAATAAATAAGAAATAAAACTAAACAAGAGTAACATTAAACAACTGACCAAGAGCGACGAGAGCGAGGGCAGCGAGGGCGAGGGTGGCGAGGTTCATGAGGGCGCACAGGAGTTGCAGCTGCGGCCTGCTGGTGCTGAGACCCTGCAGCGCCTCGTCCGGCCAGCCTCGTCCTGTGACAGCCGTCGTCTGTTACTCGTCTGTGCTCGTCTGCACTCGTATAGCTTGTCTGCGCTCGTATCTCGTCTGCTCGTAACTCGTCTGCTCGTAACTCATCTGCTAGTAACTCATCTGCTAGTAACCCGTCTGCTCGTAACCCGTCTGCTGGTAGCTTGCCTGCACGTAACCCGTCTGTTCGTATTTCGTAACCCCGCTGCTAGTAACTCGTCTGCTCGTAACCCGTCTGCTCGTAACTCGTCTGCTCGTAACCCGTCTGCTCGTAACTCGTCTGCTCGTAACTCGTCTGCTCGTAACTCGTCTGCTCGTAACTCGTCTGCTCGTAACTCGTCTGCTCGTAACTCGTCTGCTCGTAACTCATGCACTCGTTACCAACACTGGCGCTCATGAAGAAGCAATTCAGCAGAACACAGCCAAAGTTAAAGTATTTTAGTAATTACTTTATTTCATTTCTGTCTGTCACAAGGCAAACAAATAAACAATTTTTTCAAATGAATGGAAAAAGGATGTTCTTTGCAGTGAGTCATAAAATTATACAGAAAGGATTCAATGTTGAAAATTAGGATTAAATGAATATCAAAATACCAAGAATCTAGAGCAAAGAAATAGCTCTTCGCATTCACCTTATCTACGTCTTCTAAATTCATTTCATCTTTAATGAAGATTACATGAATTTACTTAGCCATATCCTTGCATTTAAATTCTTGGTGAATTTGCAATTTAAGCGGACCAATAATATAAGCATCAATATCAAAATAATACAAAGCATGAATGAGCATTATCATTATTGTCTCATTTCATAGAGTCTATGAATCTAGTGCTTAGTCATTTTATCAGTTCTCATCCTTTCTTGTGTATATTTATTTTTTGCTTGCTATTAATCTTATGTGTGACGTGCCCTCGAAGTTCGTTTGAACCAGACGCCGCGATAAATGCTTCGTAGAATAATAATAATAATAACAATCATCATTATTACTATAATTATTAATTAACCTTCAGGATCAGCACTCCAGCCGCTAGTGAGCACAGGGCTGAGACCAAGCGAGGGGTTCAGGCACGACAGCTTGGCCAGCGCTGACACCCCCAACAGGAGCTCGTCATCCTGCAAGAGGCACACATAATGTAACAATATTCAGAAATAATATATAACATTATATTATATAACATTATAGAAATTATATGTAGGATTATAGAAATTAGAAAATTAACCGTACATCGATTTAAAAGTAAGTTACTTGATCATCTTAGCCTTATGAATTAAAATTAAAAATTCGTCTTTTTAAATGAATACACATGGAATTAAAACGCCAATTAGGGGATCAAAGATAAAATGCAATCGAGTCATATTAATAGAAAGCTGCAACTGTGTCAAGGAACAAAATATATTACTAAATTTGCCAGATAATTTATGTATCTTAGTCACAAGCACTAGACGAGTTATTTTCTCTATTGAATTGAATATTTTTTACTAGAGGTTGTACTAATATTAAGGAAAACAAGAGTTACATTGGCAATATGTGATGAAATGAACCACTTTGCTAGAAAAACGAGCAATCAAAGATAGCTTTGTCTGTAAACAATAATAACAACACACTCAAAACTTCACCTTCAAACTATAAAGTAACCAAAAGAGGCGATTTCTTGGTGATAAAGTCACCTTTAGAGGAAATTTCTCGGCGATAAAGTCACCTTTAGAGGAAATATCTTTTCAATCAAGTCACCTTTAAAGGGAATTTCTTGGCGATCAAGTCACCTTTAGAGGGAATTTCTCGGCAATCAAGTCACCTTTAGAGGGAATTTCTTGGCGATCAAGTCACCTTTAGAGGGAATTTCTTGGCAATCAAGTCACCTTTAGAGGGAATTTCTTGGCAATTAAGTCACCTTTAGAGGGAATTTCTCGGCGATCAAGTCACTGGTCTCCTTGACTGTGAGGTAGCCAGCCTCGGCCGCCCCACACTGGTACTGCGCATGACGACGCTCTGCCTCGACCACGACCTGTCGACCAGACCCCAGCACCTGTGGCGCGACCCTCACCTCCGCTGCACTCAGGCACACCTTGCCCACCTCACCCGGGGCGCCCTTCGCAGGGCAAATTGGCAATTTCAGACCTGGGAAAATAGGTACAATTTTAGACATTTATAATAAAACACCTTAGGCCTGGGAAATTGGTTAAAAAGTTAGATGATCATAAGCGGAAGTTTCAAACCTGCGAAATTATGTAAAATTCAGACTTTCATAATTGGCTATTTAAAACTGCAAAATTAGATATGATTCAAGCTTCCATGATCAGCAATTTTACACCTGAAAAATTAGGAACAAATTTGGACTTTCGTCATTGGAGGTTTCAAGCCTTTGCAATTAGGCACAAATTAAGACTGTCTGATAGTGAGATCCAGCATGATTTCTCAACAATAAATGAACGACTCTACAGTTTTATTGTCCTAACAATACTTGTGTTGTACCTTCATGAATCACATTGGAACTGTGGACAATCCTTCATATTAGAAATACAAAAATAAAATCCTGAGTTGATCAATATGCAAGTTACAATCAGAAGCATTCTTTATAACCACAATTAACAAACAAGCCCGAGTAAGAAAGAATCATTAGTGAATGAATAATGAATTAAAAGAAACATTTTTTTAATAATTTACCATTTTCTTCAAACTGCTTGCCAGCAAACTCATCCCATGCAGAGCTCCCAGTAGATTCCAGCTCGAGATGCTGCAGATCAGGATTGAGGAGTCCGTCTGGAGGTATCATGCTGAAGTAGCTGAGCGCCAGCAAGCTGAAGAAGAGCGTGAGCAGCAGCAGTAGCATGTTAGACACGCTAGGGCACCAGCTACTGGAGCTGCTGTCTCGAGTCTCGCAATAGTTAGGGAAGAATGAAGGAGAAGGTGGAGGCGATGAAGCAGGGAAATATGAAGAATTTGGAGATGAAGGGTAACTTTTGTTCAAAACTTTTGGGAGTTTCCAAGAAAATCCATTAGATGAAGGTTTAGATACAGCATTTTTGTTTTTGTTTCCAAATAAATTTGCGAGCCATGAGTTGAATCCATGAAACTTAGATTTGGAACCTTGTTCTTCTGGTGCATAGGAGCTTGTATCCCCATTAGTGTCCTGGTCTTTATAATATTCACTGGGATCATCATAACTCCCATGTCTGCTGTCATTGTACTCATGATACTGGTATTTTGGGACTTTCCTCACATCACCAAGATCAGGGGTCATGAATCTGTCATTAAAGCGCTGCCTTGCACTGCTGCTGTTGCCAGATATTTGACTGGTGATGGCATCATCGTTGTCAGATGCCGTGTCATAATCAAATGCAGGTTTAGGCTTTTGCCGAGATGAAGACCGCATACCAGACCTGAAATTGGAAGTAAAAAATATCATATATAAAAAAAATAATAAAGGTACAGCCATAACTCAAGTAGCAGAATTGGATTACAATGGCATTGCTGTTGCATTATGAAATTATTGTAAAGAATAATAATGTAATTGTAATAATGATTAAGTATTACAACATTTTACCAATCAGAATATCAACAATGCAACAAACAACATCAGCATTAACACCAATAATTAGAAACTAACATTATTTATTACATACTAATGCTTTTAGGCTATTGCATCAATAATATATAAGAAGGTGAACATAATTACTGAGAAGCATTGCTGGGTTTTGTCTTCAAATATGTTGGAGTGGAGGATTTGGTGGCAGGAGAGGACCAGGAAGAGGTTGGTGTGCCTTTATTGCGGGTCACAACATGTGTGTTGTATTTGAAGAGGCTAGACCTGTTGGTGCCCGTGCTGCTATAGCTTCTATCTAATATGTTCTCATCATCTTCATCTTCTTCTTCATCCTGCTGTTCTTCTTCTTGGTCATCTTCGTCCTCATCAGAGCTGAAAGCTTGCAGGCTGCGTCTAGATGTGGTTTTAGTAGCTGGCTGCAAATTAGAGAAAACGATTAATAATTTGTTTATTAGGATTCAATAAAATTTACTCAACATATAAATGGTTTCAAGCCATAGTTTAGCTCAGATTTGAAAATGATGCATACATTTTCCATGTTTTTCAAACACATTTTTAGTAGGTAATTACAAAATGTTTTCAACATATTCTTTCTATAGCCTCAGCATGCTCCATTAATAACTTGCTCCATTAATATGCATTTTATTCTCACACATTTTCCAAACATTATTGAGTCGTATCCAAATGCACTTGTATTGTGTGGTGGTGCAAGCCTACTTCATTCACCTTCACAATTCAGTCATTTTTCACATCATTCATTCATGTTCATCATCCATCATGTTTGAAGTTAAGGATAGGAAATCTGGGAATCTATCAGGGTCAAATGAGTGTGTATTGACAATATCAAATTCCCGAGGTGATCAATATGCAAGTTACAATCAGAAGCATTTCTTTACAACTACAATTAACGAACAAGCACAAGTAGAAAAGAATTATATATATATATTAGCTAAATGGATACACAAAAATGATCAGGCTATTGCCATGATCTATAATTTGAGACGACATAAATCCACTTTAAAACCAGCATTAAATAACATTTGAACTGTTCTCATCATCATGCATATGGAGCAGCATAAGAATAGATGTATATAAATATAAGGTACTGATTAATTCATCAGCTGTAACTTCAGCAATTATAGTCTGGTCTGAAGCTGATGAATTAATTATAGTCTGCATGTGGGAATTTTACAGTAAAAGACACAATACACAAATAAGCAATACTTGCCACATATTTCTTTGAACTTTTGCCCTTCCGAGCAATGGAGAGTTTCTTTCTGAGGATACTCCGTGTGGTGGCAGTAACTGGAGTCGTTATTCCTGAAAATAAATGGTTCATACATACAATATACTTCTGGGTTTGAAACCATAGAATTTTTGTATGGTTGTTTTTCCTAGGAAATTAGATTAAGTGTAAAAAGTTACAAAATGGGTTTTGAGATTTCCCCCATTTTTTCAATTGCTTGAATTAAGGCGATTCAGTGTTTTCAAGGCAGTAAAATTTATATCTCCTGGCTACAATTCTGCATCTTTCAGGCTTTCAAAATAAATCAATTCTATCAGTTAGATAGGTAGTAATTAAGGGATCACATATATAAGAGTGATTTTTATCAGTCATGACACAGGAATTGGCAAGTGATGCTAAGACAGCTAAGTATCACACATTAAAAGAAAAACGTAGAAATTCTGTAAAAACTGGCATGCTTGACTTCAACTGCTTTGCTGGCTAACAAATTGAGGAAAAATATATATCAATGAGTAAAGTAATTACCATGAAGAAGAAGCTCAGCATGTAGCTCATCATCATTCAACCCAATAACTTCAGCCATAGTGTATACAATATTCAGTAAGCATTGGCTATCTGCTTATCTAAGGCAAGAAATGTCCTTATTTTTGTAAAAACAACAATCTGAAAATTAATCAGACAAATAAAATGTACACACGTATAATATTCATAAGTAAAGCTTCATGCAATAATGTCCCTTCTACACATAATCCTAGGCATTGCCACCCTTTTCCTCAAGTGAGTAGCGCTGGACAGCTCTGGCCTTCCTGAGGATCTATGCCATTGCAGCATTGCCAACTGCTAAATATCCTCTCATTCCATCTCTCTTCTTTCACTCAATTCACACTAACGAATATTGAACACTACTTAATTACGTTTTAATTAACAGCTATTAGGCTTTTAATTAACACGCAAATGTATGACGTCACCATTTCAACCATCAATGAACGCATGGAACTAAAACAAAGCTTACTATAAAGGAAAAGCTGGAGAGGTGACGGAATTACCTACGATGTCGGAATATACCGCGTTTACCCTACACATTAATTCAGCTCAAATTAAGTCATTGTTGAACTTACATTTTCTGTCATTCATTATTTTATTTGATAAATGAATTATAATTATACTAAATACTAATGCCTCTCTAAATGGTATGAGCACAGAGCACAGAGCATTTGTCAACATTACATACTCAGGATAGGTACTCTACCTATCTGCTGAAACTCTCAGAAAAAAAGTTGTGACCATGTTTGTGACTTTGTGCTGACAATATCAAATATGTTTCATACTGAATGACGCTGAATTAAAAGAAAGGCTGATAGCTACTGCCACTGGGTCTAGGCCACACAAAATTAAATGGCCAAATCTAATGCAAGGTTATGACTGAGGTCAGAGTTCTCAAATCTCAATAGAATTTTACTTAAAAAAATGGTAAGAGATGAAGATGAATGGTAAGTAAGACTGTAAGAGACAAATCAAAAGAAAAAAATATTGACAAGAATAATAACAGAGATGCAAAAATATATGCCATGGAATTAGCTTAAAAAATCAATTTGTTTGAATTTTCCCTCCATTTCTTCGACCATTAACTATGATTAAGTAGATTGGCAGCCATTATTGCATTTACTGGCATAGCTAATACTAATAGAAGTTTATCCGTCAATGGTCAACCCATCTTTTTTTACTATTTTAGTCGTTTATTTCTTTTTTGACTTCACAGAATTGGTAAGTAACACCGGCACCGTAAATAATAGCATTAGTTGCAGTTTTTACAGTTTTTTGAGCCAATTTGAGGAGGTCAATTTTATTTTAGATGATCGCAAATATGACACCGAAACAACGTAATGCACGGCCCAACACGGGTTTGTTTACGTTTACGATCCAAATGATGTCACAAGAAAGATGCACTACAAGGCGGAACTTTTTGTGGGCCAACCTTATATAGTTCAACCATGACGACAACCCATCCATGTCTTCCCAATTCACCTCCCAGAGGTGAGAAAGCCAGCCAGCCCGCCAGGTTCTTGACACTGGCTGTGGCTAGACCTTGTGACTTTGCTAAATAGGGACGACTGAAAAAGCCCAGCATTGCCCAATACCAGCATAATTTTCATACTTCTCCCCGTGCGCAAGCATGCTGCAGAGCAAATTAGCCAACATGATTACTTGATGAAAGCCACAGGGACCAAACCCCTTCATAGATGTAAACAAGCGAGCCAATGAGCTGCAGGCCGCCAAAACAATGGTCGTAACCCACAAGCTAAACCCCAAAATATTTCTATTCCATGCAGCCTAACCCCTTTCCCACTTTCAATAAAGAACGCCCTGCGCCACAGTGCTATCAATACACTGCTACCTCACCAGCCTGTCCGTTCTTCTGGAGGCTAAACCTCCACCCTTACCCCCTGCTCCCCCTCCTTTTGGTACCAGCTTGCAGAAGAATTCTAAACAAATCTAACCTAACCTAACCCTTTCGCGGAAAGGTGGAGAGAAGGGGGTAAGTGTGGAGGAAGAAGATGCTGGTGAGCGTTGTAACCGGGTTACTTATTGAGTTTTTATCGCAAAATAAATCCGCTCATTCATTATTTATTCATATCTTTGTATCAATATTTTTGTAATTTAGGGTAATAGTTATCATGTATCATTTTAGGGTAAAGGAAACCGACTTCTAGAACCCTTGGTAAACAGTCGGTCTTGTCATGTTTGGCGCCGCTGGCTAAAGTAAGTTGTTGGACCGATTGTGCAGAATAGGATTGGCTAGTCGGATTTCTTGAATTATTAATGTTTATTTATCAGTTACCGATATCCAATTCACTATTTTGTTCAATACAAGTTTATGTGTCGATGTCTAGTTGTGTGTATAGTTCAGTTATTTTTACTTGAGTATTTATACTATTTATTTATTTCTCTTACAGTATCTATTTTCTGCCCATGCTCCTTTATTCCTGGTTTTTATTAAATTTGTAAGTCTGATCACCAATACACATCCATCTTTCCGTGTTATTTATTCATGGCCTCTGCGCTAATAGTTTACTAAAGTTAGTTGCCTGAGAGACAGAAGTAGGTCACGTAGGGTTGACCTCACCCGCAAATGCGCCGGCAACAGCGTCAGGGCTAGGCTTACGCCTGCGAAGTGGGTAAGGTGATGCCACAGTCAGGTGCAAGGCCGTTCCCATTTACGGCAGTCTGGTGCGGTCTGCGGACTCTGTGGCTTACAGCATTCGTAAGAAGTGATGGTATGGGCTTAAATCATTGGTGTAAGAGCTATTGGGCGTAATCCGTTTGGAGTATCAGCTTGTGGGCCGAGGCATTGCTTGTTTCAAGCCACTGTGCAGAGAGTGGATGAATATTGCAAGATCTTTGGCGACGCTTCAGTAGCAAAATTTAATAAAAAGTTGGTATCGAATTTTCGAAAATTTACTTGGAAAAATTTCACTTCAGGTCCGGGGAGCCCCGGAGCCCGGACCAAGTGACTATAACCCGGACCCATATATTCGGGTCACAGAAAAGTTCACTTCTCGATCGAACTAATCGATAGAGAATCTTCTGTAACGTCCAGAAAGCATAAAAAGTTAGTATCGAATTTTCGAAAATTTACTTGGAAAAATTTCACTTCAGGTCCAGGGAGCCCCAGACCAAGTGACTATAACCCGGACCCATATATTCGGGTCACAGAAAAGTTCACTTCTCGATCGAACTAATCGATAGAGAATCTTCTGAAACGTCCAGAAAACATATTTTTTTTATAATTGAATTTGAAGGCTTCGAGTGCTTATGCACTGCCCAGCCTGATCTCTGTGATTAGTTGCAGATAAAAGGAAGAGACTTGGGCCAAGCCCCAAGCTAGAGAGCTCTGGGCAAGAATGGCTGCGGCATGCACCAAAGGTCAGAAGATCTTTTTCATGCAGCAGAGATGTGAACCTTCAAAAAGTAAATTTGACATGCCAATTTCCTACAACATGCAAGCCCAGTCAGAGTAAGTCACTATGCTGAATGACAGTGGCATGCAGAGTTTCATCTATACATTAAAGTGCAACATGCATACCAATTACACTAATAAGCGAGAACACAAGAAACATGCATGATTGGAATATGCAGTGAGAAAAAGAGAACAAAAATAAACTAAAAAAATAAAAAAATAATAATAATAATAATTAATAAGTAAATAAAAGAGAAAACAAAGAACAAAAAAAAAAAAGAAAAAAAAACACCTCAGAGGATCAACATCAAGGGCGGCCACTTAATTATTTTTTTTTTAGGTTACATCAGGGCAACCACTCCGCATTGCAGCAAATATTGCTGCAGATATGAAAATATCTGGTGACGCTGTTGGTTGGTGACGCCTGCTCCTAAGGCTGTCTGCAGCCCCCAAGGAAGCCCAAGCGCAATCACTGCACTCATGAAGGGTGCTCTTTGACCAGTGAATCTGGTACAATATAATAAGAAATGAGCTATATTGTCCTCTACTTGACATACTGTGCAAACTCCAGTTGCTGCCATTCCAAATCGAGCACGGTGAGCAGCTACACCAGCATGGCCAAGACGGAGGCGGGCTACGGCACATTGTAATGGCCTAGCCAAGGAGCTATAGTCAATATATGTTATACTATTGTCAAGGTCGTGTCTAAATTTTCCGCAGCCAGTGTCAGCTACTTGGGTTTCCCAGTATCCATGCCAATGCCTGCTGAAGGCCTGGGATATTGCTCGCAGAGACTCTTCAAAAGAGAGTATGGAGCGGGAAGACCTATCTGCATGTGTGCTAGATTTGCAGTCCGGTCTGCGACCTCATTTCCAGCAATCCCACTATGACCCTTCACCCAGCAGAAGGCTACGGTGCTCAGTCCTCTCTGGAGAAGCAGTGATTGTATCCTGAAGACTGGGGTGGCGGGTGTTAAGGATCAAATGCAAAGATGCTTTGGAGTCTGTAAAAATCACAACTTGATGGTTTTTCAGTTCCATCCAATTAAGTGCCATTTCCAAAGCCTTGAATATGGCAAACAACTCTGCACCCATCACCGTATGACTAGGAGACAGCAACCAACACCCTTTTTTTTGGATGTAGTTAATCTGCAATAATACCCCAGTAAAGTATCATGGATACCAGCATTATCATACACAAGATATTTCTTTACATATTGATAATTGAGTAAATGAGAAAATTAAAAATGAACTGATTCTAAAAAATCTCTGGTTTGCCACTATGGCTAGGCCTACCTCTGCAGTCTGCCCAATTTTCCACCAAGCCAAGGGGTAATGGTAACATATTTTTGATAACTTCATAATATAATGGCTCAATCAAGTCAACTGAATCAAGCACTTTTGTTAGCAATAAAATTTGAGAAAATTCATCTAGGCTAGTTGGACAATTGGGAACTACTTGACAGTTGCTACCTGGTGGCTGGTCCTGCAGCAGCTACCACACACACAGCCACTAGGCCACTAACCTGAGTAACCTCTAGCCATAGCACTTAATTAGGCTAAATAAGCCAGAATGCAATAGAAATAAAGACATAATACTATATTCTACAATATAGTATACTATACCTACCTACAATGAATACTATATTATTATCATATATAATAGTTTTACAGGTGCAGACCGTGCAGTCAGCAGTGAGCATGTAT